TAAAATCATTAAGCTAAAATTAATTTGATCATAATTTGCTTTTATGGTATCTCCGAAGGAATAGCATCTTGTCTTTGTTGGGAGGGTGAATACATCTGTCTTCTGAAGACTCTGGCAAGTATAAGAGGAACAATGGTGCAGCAATCATGCAGCAATCATGCTGAAAGGATACACACCCCTGTTGTGCCCTAGTCATCTCATTGTGATGGTCACCTCATTGTGAGGGCACACCAGCAGAATTTTCAGAGGGCAGGAAAACGCTCCCATCTTCTGTGGCCTCTGTGTTCTCAGAACATCCCCACACATTTAGACCGATTTCACACAAGAGCTGTGCCGCGGTCGCACCTCCCTTAGCCCCGCTTCTATTGGTCAGTTTCCCACTCGAAGCCACACGGCCGCATTTTGACCCACAGCTTCGCCCGATTTTCCCCGCAGTTTCGTGATCCTCAAAAAACAGGATCACGAAACCGCGGGGAAAATCAGGCGAAGCCGCGGGTCAAAATGCGGCTGCATGGTTTCGAGTGGGAAATTGACCAATAGAAGCGGGGCAAAGGGAGGCGCGACCGCGGCGCAGCTCTTGTGTGAAATCAGTCTTAACCACAGTTAAAATACTGGGAGTGCCCCAGTGACTCACACGCTTCTTCCCCATCCTTTCTGGAGCCAATCATAGTATAGTCTCAGACATTAGTGTTTACACTTGTGCAGATGTAATGCCATGCCATAAAATTCTCCCACAAGGAAGGGAGGGGAGAATTCCCATGTGAGAGGAGGAGGGAGGAGTAAGTGAGTTATTATTATTTATTAAATTTCTATCTCGCCCTCCCAGCCAGGGCCAGCTCACGGCGGCTTACATAAAATAGCATAAGAATTACAATAGTACAGATTAAAATTAAGCAACATCAGTTAATACAAATAAACAATGCTAAAACCACAAAACATAATAACGTGCTAGTATCAGTTTGGCAAAGCAGCTGCTGACCTAACCACTAACAGGTGTGCGGAAGTGTTACACCTGCAAAGGACCACTATAAGCATCAATTCCCAGCTCTGTACAGTGGCCAAGTGATCTTCTGCCTCTACCTTTGTGGAAACTTTATGAATTATATACACAGGTTGTTAAGAGAAGTGTGAGATTCAATTTCTTCAGGTTTCCCGATGATGAAATTGGAAGCTCTACTCTGGTGTACTTCTGCATTTACTTGATCATCAGCAATTTATTTGTAAACGAAAAGAAGATCCCATTTACTATAAATGAAACGTTACCAATAAACTAAAGTTGATGTGTGGTTTTTAAACATTTAATTATTTCTAATGCAGCCACTGAGGTAAGGTCTCAGACTGTGAAATACCTCTGTAAATCAAATTCTAATCATTGTCACACCTGTTTTAACAATTGTTACCTTAAAGGTCTATTGACGGCATAAGCTTTATCTATTATTTTGTAAAACTGATTTGTGGAGATGGTAGAGGTAAATGATGAATACCTCTTCAAAAAGCCAGAAATAACTTTTAACATTTCTAACAAGCAGATAGTGGGAAAAAGACAACATTAGCCCACCACTATTACAGTTCAGTTTTAGTTAGCCTTTATTGGCATAAACACTATTACAGATAGGGATCTCAAGTCCCCCCGGGGGGCGGGGAAACCCCCGCCTCAGAGGCCTGTTCCCCGGCGGCGCCGGATTGGGCCCCAGGGGAACTCCACCCCAACATGCGCGTCACCCGGAAGTGACGCGACCACGCCGGGCACGCTGGGGGCGGGGCCACGGCCATCCAAGGGAAAACTCTATGGTTTTCCCTTGTATGGCTGTGCCCCCACCCCTAGCATGCCTGACGTCCTCCTGTCACTTCTGGGTGACGTGCGTGCGGCGCGCATGCGCGCACCAGACACCGGCCAGGAGCCCCCCGCTCCCAGCGAAGATCAACTTGGTAACCCTAATTACAGACTATTTTCCAACTTTCTCATGGAGATCAGTTATATCTTATTGGGTACTAACAGGTACATGGGAGCGCAAATGAGGTAATACCAAGCATCCTTACTAAAGCACTTGCTTTGAGTAAAAAACACTGACCAACATAAAGGTATCTCCAGAACATCTTATAAATCAGTTTTCTTATTTACCAGCAAAGATGATCCCCCTTATATACAAAAGGGCTTATACTACTGTACACCATTGTGGGCTTTTCTGCAGGGGTTTTCTGCATCAGATCTGGCCCCATATTCCCTGATTCCCACATATGTTTTTGTGCCTTTAGTTTTTACTTTAGTTTTTTTGCTTTCCCCCTAGTTTTTTTCTGGTTCTTTTGAAGCCACTTTTACCCCCAATCTTTTTTCCAGAAGCTGGTTTTGAGTCAGCTTTTTCCTTGTGTGTAATGTTGGTCTTCGTTTTCTTTATCCCACTGACTCCCACCCAGCTCCAGCACAATTTTCAATGATTGAACCATCATCATCAAACCACTCGCTCTCCTCTTCCCAGAACACGAGTGGTTTTGGTTTCTTTAAGAAAAGGCCCTGAAATATCAATATATCAATATAGTGTTGCAACGATAGTTTACACAGGTTCTCTGAATTCCCAGCTTTCATTTAAACAGTAGGCCTGTAGCCCAGTCTGTGAGGGGAACTATCATTACAACACTACATCGATATATCAACGTTTTAGAGCCTTTTTTAAAGGGGGGAGTGCTATGATGCCACAGATGACGTCACGAATGTCAATAACAACCATCCTTGAAAAACCTGATTATTTAAGCCACACATAGAAGAAAATAAACTGACTCCACAACTATGAAAATGCACAGGGAGGGCACATGTGTGATAGAACTATGCCCAAACAGAGTCCAGTGCTTGTAGATCAACTGCCAAGAAAATCAGGAGTAAGTCAAGAGTGTGGAAAAGCCCTATAACTTGTATGCAAATTTAAGACAGCACTAGGGTTGCCAGGTCCTTACCCTGCACCAGTGAGGGGTGGGAGGGAGCTTTCAGGGGGGCAATGTCCCCAACACTGGGCAGTGGGCAGGAGGCCGCAAAACTGGGGGATCTAGGCTTGCCAAGTCCCCCCAGGGGGCAGGGAAAACCCCCGCCCCAGAGGCCTGTTACCCGCCGCCGGCGAATCGGGCCCTGGGGGAACCCCACCCCCAAAGCACATGACATGCCCGGTGTCAGCACATCACCCGGAAGTGACGCAGCCACGCCAGGTGCGCTAGGGGCGGGGCCACGGTCATCCGAGGGAAAACTCTGTTGTTCCCTCGGATGACCGCGGCCCCGCCCCCAGTGTGCCCAGAACGGAGCTGGAGTCCCCCGCTGTACATACAGCGGGGACTTGGCAACCCTAGGGGGATCCTCTGCTCCCACCTGGAAACTGGCAAACCTAGACAGCACTCTCTTTTTCTTCATAGAATCATATTTGGAAAAAACCCTATTATTCCTTTTAGGTAAATAGGATAGAATAAAAAGAAGTATGGGGAATGATCCTGAGATAAAGTAAAATTAAGAGGCTCTATTAAAGATAAATAAATGATTTTTTTTTGTTATGGCGGCATATGTGGCAAGATATCTTAGTATGTAATGCAGATTCTCTGATTTAGCCAATGCAAATTTTAAGAATTGAGGGAACCATTGCCAGAAAATTGTGCACAAAGACATTTAGCTACTGGCAAACTGGAGATACAGTCAGGGTTGGTTTCAGTTAGGGCTGCCAGCCAGCAGCTGGCATCCAGCAGAAGACTGGGGGGCAGAGACATGGAGGGGTGCTGTCACAGCAATAGTGTGATGTCATTTCTGGGGTAAACCTGGAAGTGACATCATGCCACTCCAGGATTCAGCAGAAACTCTTTAGTTTTGCCATAGTTCTGCTGAATCCTATAGCAGCATACCATCACTTCTATGTTCATCCTAGAAATAACATTACACTCATACTCTCCTTTTTCTCCACTGGCCTACTGAGCAGCAAAGGGAGTTGGGGGCTGCTGCCCAGACTATCAACCCTAGTTTCAAGTTTTGGGAGCTCTTGCACAGGGGTGTTCTTGGTAGGTCTCTTTCCCCATTGATGAGCTCCTCCACTCTTCACCTAGACAGTTATAGGACCTCCTTGTTGCCTTCACCACTTGCCTACCTGAACAGGTAGATAAGGAGCAGCAGCAGCAATGGTCAATGAGAGGTATAATGGGCCCTTCCAAGGCATCTGGGCTTGTGCTTGCTAGCCCCCATGCTGAACCTAGGCATGGTTGAAAATGTAGGAATAACACAGGGAATGCAGAGTTGTGCATAGGGTTGCCAAGTGACTTACCGGCTGCAGTGGGGGAGCGGTGGTCCCACTCTGGGACATTTGCGTGCACGTGCCGCAACAACATCTCCCAGAAGTGACGTCATCACACTGGGCCCGTCGCCGGGCAACGCTCTAGCAATCACTCTGAAAACTCTATGGTACCATAGAGTTTTCAGGATGATTGCTAGAGCGTTGCCCGGCAACATGCCCAGCGTGATGACGTCACTTCTGGGCAACGGCATGAAACCGGGCACGTCAGCCCGATCTGGCCACTTCGGGGGTGGGGTTCCCCCTGCCAGCCGGATTTAGACCGGCAGATTGGGGGCCCTTTTAGCGGGGGAACCTCTGCCCTCCCGGGGGACCTGGCAGCCCTAGTTGTGCACTACTGTCACCTTTCTTCCATATCTAGGAACCCAGATTTTGCCAAACAGAATAATGAGCATTCACACACACACAACCCATATGGTACCAACACCCCTCTTTCACCACCATCTCCATCCTAGGAACATGGCCAAGAGGACTGCTGGACTTTAGTGACATCATTAGCAAGAGTCAGGACCTATCCATCATTCATTGAGATAATTCATTTGGAGGGAAATTGGATCCTGTAACCAAGGGAGGGGGAAAAAACCAAATTAGTTACACAGTGAACGGGCAGTTTCTGTCCATCCCTAGTCTGAGTCCCAAGTTCCCTGCAACTAGAGGTGAAGCTTAGAGGAGATGTTTTTCACTCACTAGGATCCACATATGCCCAGCCGGGGTGGAGAGGAACATTCATAGGTGGGGGGAATGCGCCGGCTTTCAGCCCTTCCCCCGAGGTTGCCTCTTCATAGGTTGGAGGCGCGGATGGGGCAGTGGCATTGTCCTTCTTTTCTTCACTTCCCTGCTGTCCATCTGGGTTTGTAGGCTTGCTATTCACAGAGAGCTGCAGAGGAAAGGAGAAAACAAGATTTAGAAAGGTCTCAGCCACGTTGTGCATAAATTCTACATGGGGCGGAGTGGGATGGAAGAGGGGACAGAAATGCCATTCCAACTCCAAGATTTTGGAGGCCCTCAGCTAAAGGGACCCTCTGTGGATCTTTAGGTGACACATACTATTGTATGTTAATTTGTTAACCAAGGTGTTTTCATCTAGTTCTAGAACTGCCCTGGCCTGGGTTTGAACTAGGGTTGCCAACTCCAGGTTGGGAAATTCCTGCAGATCTGGGGATATAGCTATGGGATGGTGGGGTTTGGTTAAGGGGCAGGACCTCAGTAATGTATAATGACATAAAGTCTACCCTCTAAAAGCAGCCATTTTCTCCAGGGGAACCGATATCTGGAGATCAGTTGCAACTCTAGGAGATCCCCAGGCCCCACCTGGAGGTTGGCAACCTTAGTTTGAACAGTTTATGCAGGCCTGTGGCTCATGCAGGTTATCAGCTGCAAACCGAAACTGTTTTTCCTCCCATTCTCCCACAAAGCCTGATTACAAAGAGGACGTCCAGGTTAGCCTAAAAAAACCATCATTCACAACACATACAAGTCTATTCCAGCAACCTCTTCCTCAGTCCTGGTGAGAGGGAAGGGCTGGGGTTTACTGTGGCTGACAGGACAGCCTGAAGCCGCATGCCTTCGCATGCTGCATGGAGAGGGGTACAGCAGAGGAAGGACAATGGGCCAAGCATCTTCCTCCACCCCCTCTTTGGTCCCATGACAGAGAGGCAACAAAGTGGCCACAACACATACCAACAGAATTCTCTCACACCATTAGGGCTGTCAAGTTCCAGGTGGTGGCTGGAGATTTCCTGGGATGACAACTGATCTTCAGGTGACAGGGATCATTTCACCCAGAGAAAATGGCTGCTTGGGAGGATGGACTCTATGGCATTATACCCCACTGAAGTAAGGTGGCCAGGTCCCTCCCGGCAGCCGGCAGGGGAAGGGAAGTAGGCCTTATTGGGAGCAGGGAGTTTCATCCAATGTTTCAGTGATGTGCACACAGGACTTCCAACGTGATCCGGAAATGGTGACGTCAAAATTGGCAAAAATTCTATGATAGAATTAGTTTCTTCTGTAAAGTTTAGCCCCAAAACCAGAGTGTCGCCCCAACATGCCTACATCACTTTCAGGACATGTTGAAGTCACGTAGGCATGTCGCTAAAATGTTGGGTGTTGCTCCTTTTTTTGCAGTAAGTCCCCCCCGTTGGCCAGCTGATCGGCAGCAGAGGTGGGGCCTGGGAGCAGGGAACCTACACTGAAGCCTTCCCCAAATCCTGCCAAAATCTCCAGATATTTCCCAACCGACAGTGGGCAACCCTAAAAACCTTAGGATTTTCAGGCCCTGTGAGAGTGGCAGTACTACTTGGGCAACTGACTCATTGCTAGACTAGAGTACCCTTCCTTGCCACCCTCTAGAACAAACCATAGAGAAAATGTTGCAAGAATGTCTGGTGCATTTTGGCTGTTAACTAATTATATTTTGGGCTTAATGGGTTTTTTTCAAACCCAGACAAACTATCCTCAGCCAGCAACATGCAAATTCATAGTAAGCAGAATACATTATACCAGCCCGAATAGCTCAGTACTCATCCCTTGGTGGATGCAAATTCTGCACAGTTCACCATCAGTGAAGTCTCTGGTATTGTCAAGGACTGGAGGGAGCCAGAAAGTTAGTAATTAGGGTTGCCTCCTGGCAACTGGTGGGGGATGGGGTGGCTTACGAGTAGAAAGAAGAAGGCCACGTCACCGGTGTCACATAGAAAGTGATGTCATCATGCCAGCAACTTCTCAGTGATGCTCTGGTATTTGGGCAAAAACTCTATGGTAAAAAAACCAGATTCTACCATAGAGTGGGGTATAATGCCATAGAGTTCACCCTCTGAAGCTGCCATTTTCTTCAGGGGAACTGATATATGTAGTCTGGGGATGAGTTGTATCTCCAGATCTGCAGGCCTCACCTGGAGGTTAGGGTGGTAGGGATGTGAAACCACAAACATGAGCTCTTGGAACTACTATAGCAATAAGAGGCAGATTTGTGAGGGAGGGGGAATAGCAAAATGTCTCCCCTTTAAAAAGACTGTTTGTTTGCATATATTCATTTGTGTTCTTAAACTGCACACATTCTCCTAGACTCAAGGAAAGGCTACCCCCCTGCCCTGGCACACAAGCTGACAGCTGCATAATAGCCTAAATTGCTTGGCACCAGGGCTGGATCTTTGCCCAAGCAACAAAGGCCCAGCTAGCGCAGCTGAGGCCAGCAATGCTGGAGAAGTCAACGGGCCTGGTTTCTGCCCACTGTCACCTCCCAGATCTGCACAACACCAGCTGAATCCAACCCCGTAGCTAAGGACTTTTTAGAGAGGGGGCCTGGGGGGGGGCGCCTGCTAATCCAATCAAAGGCTCCAGGGCAAGAGCTGCAGCAGCCGAGGGAAAACTCTATGGCGCTCCACATGCCGGCCAGGAGTCCGGGTCCAGCTCCCCCCCCCCCAAGCAATGTTCCCAAGACAAAAATGTGTGAGCCAGAGGCTCAAAAACCATGAGCTAGCTCACACTAACTCAGCTTAGAGGGAACACTGCCCTCAAGGACCCCCAGTGCCTCTTCCCGCACCAGGGACAGCCTCTGAAATCACTGCCCTTGTCCTTCCTGCCAACAGGCTGACAGGCAATCAGGGGGAGTTGGGGTAGGGGAGACGAGGCTCAGGAAGGGGGCCCATAAAAACTGCTAGGGGGCCAGGCCCTGTGTGCCCCGCGTTAGCTACGGACCTGCATGGATCCCTGAGATGCTGGCCGCTCATTCCAAGCATGTGTTCAAGTACAACCCTTCTCTCCACCCCCATTTTGTTTGCTGACTCACCCACATCTTTACAAATAGACATTGTGGTTTTTTTCTTTTTTTCTGGCAATTTGGCCAAAATGTTTACCTACCCCTTCCCCTAGACTGATCTCCTGGGTCCTAGTATAATTATGGTCAGTTTACCTTTGCTACTTAAAAGCATGAACAGGTTCAGTCTGTAGATTCTGGGCAAAATCCAACCTTTTGAGATCATAAAAAAAACCACTGGGAGGAGGAGTTAACCCCCCTCCCCCAAAAAAACCAATAGAAGAAGCACCTGTAGCTTTAGGCAACAAAGGCCCTCAGTGGCCATTGCTAGGCAACAATGGGGAGGGCAGGGACCTTCATGGGGCCTTTACAGGGCTGCTCTGGCCTTTGAGGGAGGGACTCATTGAGGTCAGCTCTGGCAGGAACCACTAGGTGACTTGATACCAAGTGACTTCCATGACTCACATATGCCCTGCTACTCAGTACTATTCAACATTAGCCACCACACAAAAGCCAGTGTGCTGGTGTGGTTAGAGTTTCAGACTTAGATTCAAATACCCATTCTGCCATGGTCCGTGGAAGGTCTCTGGGAGACCTTGGGCCAGTCACACATTCTCAGTCTAACCTATCTCACAGTGTGGGTTGCCAGGTCTGGGTTAGATAATACCTGGAGATTCGGGGAGTGAAGCCTGGGGAGAGGGGAATTTGGGGAGCAGAAGGACCGCAGCAGGGTATAATGCCATAGAGTCTACCCTCCAAAGCAGCCATTTTCTCCAGGGGAACTGATCTTGGCCATCTGAAGATCCACTGTAATAGCTGCTGTTGTGAGGATAAAATGGAGGATAATTATGTAAACTGGTTTGGATCCTAATTGTGGAGAAAGATGGGATATAAATGATTAAATAATAAATATCAGGGGTCATTTCGTAGAAAAAGAGCTAGGGGAACTCATTAGCATAACTCATTAGCATATGCCACACCCCCTGACATCACTGGAAGTGTCATAAGGCCACACCCCCTGACATCACCGGAAGTGTGTCATAAGGCCACACCCCTGACATCACCGGAAGTGTGTCATAAGGCCACACACCCCGCCCCCAACGGTCCCGGCACCTCCTCCTGGCTGAATGAGGGCCAGAAGCGGGGTGGCCGGAAGCAGGGGGCGGGGCTTCGTCATGTGCCCCACCCCCCGTACCTCACCCGGGGGAACTGCGATCCCCTGCGTTCCCCCCCGAAATGACCTCTGATAAATATAGCTAAAGGTGGGGGCAGATAAAAGGTAGCTTGCTGGGTGGGTGGATAGGAAAGAAATGGAGCAAGGAAAGGTGAGGATGTGGAGAAGGTTAAGAGGAAATGGTGTAGAAGGACAGAAGGGAAAATGAGGTGAGCCCTGCAAATCCTTGCAGGTTCCTATTGCACAACTAGGCAAGGTTGCCCTATCACAGGTGGGACCTGCAGATTTTTTGGAATTACAACTAAACTCCAGACTACAGAGATCAATTCCCTGAGAAGAAATGGCTGCTTTGGAGGGTGGTGGACTCTCTGACACTATGTTCAGGACATGCCCCTTACCCAAGCCCTGCTCATCAGAACATGAGAAGAGCCCTGCTGGATCTAGGGCTGCCAACCTCCAGGTGGGGCCTGGAGATCTCCTGCCATTACAACTGATCTCTAGACTACAGAGATTAGTTCTCCTGGAAAAAAATGGCTGCTTTGGAGGGTAGACTCTATGGCCATTGTACCTTGCTGAGGTCCCTCGCCTCGACAAACCCCACCATTCCGAAGCCCCACCCCCAAAATCTGCAGGTATTTCCCCACCCAGAGCTGGCAAGCCTGGCTGGAGCACTGGCACTGGTATTCAGAGGTTTACCTTTCATCAGCATCCCTAGCAGCCACTAATAGACTTATCCTCCATGAGAAGCCCTCTCCAGGCTCCACCCCCAAATCTCCAGGAGTTTCCCAACCCAGAGTTGGCAACTCTGCAACTGGGCCTGGTGTGGCAGCCAACATTGCACAGAGTCTTCCCAAGGACAAGCTGGCAGATTAGCTAGTGAGTGGGAAGGAGAGAAGAAAGCAGGGGAAAGGGAGAGACTATCGGGGCTTTCGGGAAACTGAAAGAGGAAATAGTGGGTGAGGAGAAAATAAAATGCATCCCACAAATCCTTGCAGGTCTCCTGCTTGCCGTCTCCAATTTCACAACCACAGAGGAATTAAAAAAACAAAAACCTCAGATAGTGATTCTGAATTCGAGTTGCCAACTCTGGCTTGGGAAATTCTTGAAGACTTTGTGGGTATAACCTGGGGAGGGCAGGGGAGGGTTTGTGGAGAGGAGGGACCTTAGTGGGGTATAATGCCTGAACAATGCCATAGAGTCCACCCTCCAAAGCAGCCATTTTCTCCAGGGGAATTGATCTATGTAGTCTGGAGACCAATTGTAATTCCAACCCTAACCCAGGCCCCACCTGGAAGCTGGCAACCCTGTGAATTACTTGACACCTCAACCAGAAGCAAGTTATTCAAAATTAAGTCCTGCATCAGGGAAGATTTATATCCTGCTGACTTACAGAGCTGCTGCCCAACATTCAAGTTGGCTTAAATCCTTATTAAGCAATCAGCAGCTACATAAAACCAATGCAAACCAGCCTCCGGACTGCATCAACCCAGTAGGGGCCTACTGGGAGCCAGCCGGAAAAGCCTCCCAACAATTGCTATCTGGATTATAACTCAACACATGGCAGCTGAACGCTCTGAGCCAATCAGTGGCACTTTTTAAAAAAACCCTGAACAAATCAGAGATGCCCAGAGTTATTCTGGCTTTGCGTCAGTGTTGTGCCACCTGGATTGAGATGATCTCATTCAAGCACCTCGAAGTGGGGAGGGAGGACACAGGAATGATGGATCGTCACAGAGCTGCTTTCTAGCTGACAGCTGCTATTCCGAGCATGAAATTCAGTCCTAATGCGCGTTGTTTGTCAGGCACAGAACTGCAAAAACACATCCCATATCATCATCCTCGTCCTCCGGCAATGCTTGGTTCCTCAAGCAAATCCTGAATTGCATCACTACTCTCCTATGTAGGCAAGACCCACACTCACAGAACAGACAACATAAAAATGCAGCTATCAAGATAAATACCCACCGCCGTGTGTTGATTATGTCCCATTTAGCAACCTAATGCCCTAAATCTGCAGAGGCTCAAGAGACCACAATGCATACACTTTGAAAACAATAAAGTATGCCCTGGATTCTGTGTTCCCATGGCAACTGAAGATAAAGGAAACCAAGGTGAGTGGGATGAAACTGCATTTCCTATGGTGTTAACCCCCTGGATAAATAAGGGTGATCCTTTCTGATAACCCAACATCCCAGTGGTAGTTTTGAAGCCTAGAGGGTTGCCACAAATCCTGCTCGGAATGAAAACGGGATGAGACAGGACGAGTGACATCAGAGTGACCTCTGGAGAGATATTATACAAAAAAAAAAACCCTTTCCTTCATCTCTCCTTGTAATAAGGATCTGACATGCAGACTAGGCAGCTAGGTGATTTGCTTCTTGAAAGGTCATCATCTTCAACGCTACCATTTTATTTACCCCTACCGATCTGCCAACCCTCTACAAACTGCCTGGATGGTTAGCAGTGCCCCAGGGGTTTGTCTCAACCTACCTTTCCCTGGGTCATCCTTTCCTGTTGAACGAGGCTCCTCTGCTCGGGATAATGACACCTCTCAGGAGGGGAGAGAGACAGTGAGAGAAAGAGAGTGTTTCCCCCCCTCCCCGGCTTGTCTCTTAGCAGCTGATTTGAATTTTGTTTTGTCTTTTTTTAAAAAAACAAAAAACCTGCTCGCCCCCAGCGTCACTTGAGCCTCTGCAGCCGGTGCCGATGCTCTTACATTCCAGCAGCATCTAGAGCTCCCCTCTCGGTCTGGTGGAGGTGGGACTGAACCATTTCCAAGCTGTTGGACAGGGGGATGCTGAGGAAAGCAGATGCGCAGGGAAGGAAGGGGGGGGAGGTTAAGCTTTCTCTCTCTCTCTCTCTTTTATGGTAGGCCGTTTCAGAGTATGATGCAGAGTCACATGGCGAGGGGAAAAGCCAGCAAATGCCAGAATGCAGTTGAATGCACACG